CTACCAGTCATCAGGCTAAGTAGAAGAAGACGACAGACTTATGGCCCCATTCCTTTCACCAGTGAGACAGTTGGACTTTTCCTGTTGGTCTGTTCGACCCACCTGGCTGGAGTGTGTCGTCCTCCAGCTCATCACTCTGCGTGTTTCTTCAGCCAGAGGAGAAGGAAGCTTTACCTTTGGGACATCGAGCTCTGTTCCACCACCTACGAGTCCAACAAGGCTCAGGGTAAAGATACATCGTGTCTCACTGCCGCATCCAAACTGAAGCTTGAGGTCGACTTCTTGTGGCCCTGTCGTCTGCTTCCAAGAAAATATCTGAGATTCTGCTGTTCTGGACATCTGTTACAAATAACTGCTTCCTTTGGATTTGATTTGAGCAAAACATTTTAATTGAACAATAAGACTTGCATTGTGAACGTAGCCTTAGTGCCAAACAAGATGAATATCCATTCATTCTCTCACTTACACCTACTGCCTATTTAGAGTTAGCAATTAATCTAACGTGCGTGTTTTCTTCAGTGAGTGTAAACCAGAGTAGCAGGAGAAGCTCCACGTCAACCCACAACATTTTCACTGTGAGGTGACGGCTCTCTGTGCAAGCACATGGAAATATAATAGAAAACAAACTGATGTACCGTAGAAATGATTCACAAATCAACACATTCTGAATGTTCGGGTCTGGAAAAATCTGGAGTCTAATGATAGAAAATATGTAGGAACCCTGCCTTTGTTAAAGGTTTGTATCTGTTGTGGCTAGGCCTGTCACAGTAACTAATTTAGCTGGGCGATTAATTGTCTCAGAAATTATTGTGATAAACAATAATATTATATGAAATTTGACAATAATTAGTAATTGTCAAAGCCAGCTTGGGACCCGAAAGTCCCAGGTTTGATCCCCGGTCACTGCATACCGTGTGGTGTCTCTAGACAGCACACCTCACCCCCAAAATGCCCTCCGGGCACTTTCAATAGCTGCCCACTGCACCACCTGGTGGTGGATGGGTTAAATGCAGAGACTAATTTCACCATTATATGGAAACATGCAGTGATGACATTATTATTATTAATAATAATTTGATTTGTGGAAGCAGGCGCTGTACAGGTCTGTCGTGGTGAAGAGAGAGCTGAGTCAAAAGGCGAAGCTCTCAATTTACCAATCGATTTACATTCCTACCCTCATCTATGGTCATGAGCTTTGGGTTGTGACCGAAAGAATGAGATCTCAGATACAAGCGGCCGAAATGAGTTTTCTCCGCAGGGTGTCTGGGCTCTCCCTTAGAGACAGGGTGAGAAGCTCGATCATCCGGGAGGGACTCAGAGTAGAGCCTCTGCTTCTCCACATCGAGAGGAGCCAGTTGAGGTGGCTTGGGCATCTGGTTAGGATGCCTTCTGGACGCCTCCCTGGTGAGGTGTTCTGGACACGTTCCACCGGAAGGAGGCCCAGAGAAAGACCCAGGACACGCTGGAGGGACTATTTTTCTTGGCTGGCCTGGGAACGCCTCGGGATTCCCCGGAAGAGCTGGACCAAGTGGCCGGGGAGAGGGAAGTCTGGGCCTCCCTACTTAGGCTGCTACCCCCGCGACCCGACCCCGAATAAGCAGAAGAAAATGGATGGATGGATGGATGGATGGATGGTTTTCATGTAGTACCCTTTTTGACCACTGGATGGCAGTATAAGACTGTTTGAACTGAAGGATGGATAGTGAGGGAGCGAGCAGCGTGTCTCTTTAAGAAAAATGTGAGGGAGGCCCCTTGACATGACATGGGCTGTCTCTCTCCAATCCTCAAAATGTCAGACGCTCGGTGGTTTGAGCTCTTTAGCATTTTTCACACAAAGCTTTTAATAAAAATCAGTAAACAAGTTCTCAGCTTCTTTTTTCAGAGAAAAACAACTTTTTTCTCAAAGGCACAAGTTTCAACCGTGAACTCTGGAGCTTCAACAAGACGGAGGTTTTTTTCCCGAGGTCTGCCTGTTAGCTTAGCTCGTAGCTTAGCTTCTCAGCTTAACAGCTTTTAACGTCCAAAAACATGATTTTGGACGTTAAATTGATTTTAAAAAGAAAAGAAAAAGGGAGGGGTCAGTGAAGAACATCAGAGTTGAGTCTTTTATCATCCAGTGTCTTCAGTAGAAAGAGAGAGACACAAAGAAACGATGAAGCTGATAAATGAAAATGAGGTTGATAATTTTCATTTATCATGTGATTAATTGATTTATTGTTTATCGCAACAAGCCTAGTTGTGACAGTTTTAAAGGTTTCTCTTTTTATTTTTTGTGAAATTGAATATGAAGAATAGCAACTCTGTTTAAACCCACTTTAATCAAAGTGAACACTGTGTTTAAAATAATGTCAGCTTCATCAACTTTCCTCTTCTTCTCAAGGTTAAAAGGTTAAAGTACGTTGTAACAATTCCTGCTGTTTGTTTAGTAAAATCAGTGAGAATCAGCACAGACTAGATGCAGTCATCTTCTCCCTGCCCGCCACCGTCTAATCTCTGGTGTGAACAGAACCTTTTCCTCCTGCCTGCTCTTGTGTGTAATTAATTATGATTGTGCAGGCTGACAGCATACGGCTACTGTACTGATTAATTACCAGTGGGGAAGAGCTTTATCCTCCCTCTGCTCTCCTCGTCTCCCCTCCCATTTTCTCATCTCTTTCCACTTATTTTTTTGTCTCATTATCTCTCCAATTCTTTTATATAGGGGGCGGAACGATTCAGGAGCACTGCAGCAAACAATTACTGTTCTGAATTGTGTTCAGGCAATAGACTGCAGCCGTGCACAAAGACATGATTAACAGCTCTGAGTGAAAATAAACCATTTTTATGTTGTTTTGTGCACAGATACAAACGTGTTAAATGTTTGTGGTATCAAATGTAAGAGATAAAAACAAGAAGCTACTACTAATGATTGTTTTACTGAATTAATTAGTCAGACAAGCCTGTCCATGTCCCTCGACACCACTCGGATACGTTGCTGATGAGCCCATGGACCAGTCACAGAGAACTAATTTCACGCTGGTTTCTGGAGAAAAGTATAAAAGCCTGAGAATTCAAACTCGCATAAACCAAAAGAAAACAAAACATGCTGTAGCTGTTATTTGGAAAATAATTTTATGTTGCAGATAAATTAGGATTTTGAGTTTCTGACGGTTCTATTGATTGTCTTTAGCCCCAGGTCTGCTAACAGCTGTTCAGTTCACACTTTCACATGGTGGCAAGACAGTCGGTTCATCTGGACAAACCTGAAAACATACAGAGTGATGAGCATGGTGGTGGGAGCATTTGTCTGTGGATCTAATGCACTCCACAAAGTTAAAGAATGAGTAATGATGGAGGACCGTCTCCAAATTATCCAGTTTAATCTCCAGTCAGCAGCTGGATGGTTGAAATGTGTACACAGTTGGGTGCTCCAACAGGACAATGGTTCCTGACTGGATAAGTTGGACTCGTATGAAGCTTCTGGAACAGCCTTTCTGAAGCTGAGTCTGGTCTTGAAGAGCTGGTTCTCTTGTGTCAGTCCAGAAGAGATGTTTTCTCCTGTGTTGGTCTGGACTGCACGTGCACCACCCACCTTCTGATATCGTGGTTTGTTCTTTAGATGAACAAGTTCTTGTCCTAGTATTATTGGGCTTAAGTTCACCAGGTTGTTGTTTCCTGAACATTCTTCTATGCTGGAGCTGCTCTGTACAGTTTTAAATCATGGAACACAGCATTTTTCAGTTGAATCATCTCTGCTTCATCCTTTAGCTCAGCGATGTCCAAACCTTTTCACATGCAGGCCAAAATCATCAAACTAAAAAAAAATACATGAACCTCTTGAGCCTGTGGGCCAACTTCATACCATTTCTAAGTTGCAGTCACCGACCTCACAAATGGATGAATAGATAGATGGATGGATGGGAGGATGGATGGATGGATGGATGATGCATGGATGGATGGATGATGCATGGATGGATGGATGGTTGCATGGATGGATGGACGGATGGATGGTTGATGAATGGACAGATGGGTGGTTGCATGGATAGATGGGTGGATGGATGGATGCGTGGATGGATGGATGCGTGGATGGATGGATGCATGCATGGATGGATGATGCATGAT